GAAACATTATTGTCATTAAGATATATGTAGTACTAGTATTATATTTCGTATTTATTTAGCATTATATTTTATTGAAACGTTTCAAGTGCCTGTGCACTGCTCCTTCGCTACCCTGTACCAGAACTACGAGAGTGCTGACGATGTTCCACTGATACGCCCGAAACGCCGATAGACTGCGTACCACCATCTGGCGGTGGCGTTTGCAAGTTAATTTACGACGCTAAACCACAACCTGATGTTGACGGTGACAGTGTTCTATTTTCTCTGGTGTATGCGCAGAAGAAACTCGGAAACTCAGAAACTCAGAAACTCGGAAACTCAGAAACTCGTAAACTCAGAAACTCAGAAACTCGGAAACTCAGAAACTCAGAAACTCGTAAACTCGGATACTCAAAAAGTCGGATGTCGCTTCAGGGCTTCCATATAACACAGTCTTACTAATTTACTACATATTGCAAATTGTTTCAATCAAATGTTTCTATCAGTGACCAGGAAGTCCGCCATGTTTGTTTATTGTAACCGTTTCGATGGTTAATATATGGGCGTGCGTGATTGGTCTATGGTGGTGACGTCACACTGACGTACACTGACGTCACGCGAACCTTCGATGGCATGGAAACATCCATGTATGCATATAGGGCACATCCATAATACATCATTCGAGCAAACCAAAATAGCGCAGCGCGTATGGCGCCGGACGTTTCTTCTTGAGGTGGTGGGTTCGAATCCCATCTGTTTATTATTTTTATTTTTCTATTTTTCTATCTTTATCCATTTAACTATTTTGTGTTAGTGTTAGTGTTAGTATTAGTGTTAATTAAATTAAATTAGGGTTAGGGTTAGGGTTAGGGTTAGGGTTAGGGTTAGGGTTAGGGTTAGGGTTAGGGTTAGGGACTGATCTCTATAATATAATCGATTATATTATAGAGATCAGTGACATAACCTGATGCAAAAACCTTAACCCTACCCTTAACCCTAACCCTAACCCTAACCCTAACCCTAACCCTAACCCTAACTCGGTTATGTGCGTGACGTAGCCATCAGCAGCTAGGCTGTATGCATTCAACTTTACTTCGGAGATAGCCGAGTTCGTGCGTGACGTACACTGACGTCACGCGAACCTTCGATGGCATGGAAACATATGCCGACCGTGCAAAAGTATTTAAAACAAGAGAACAAATGCCATACGCCATTTGTAAATGTTTTGACACTTTTGTTTTGCTTCACGATCGGTAGATAATTAATGTTTTTGACGTGTTTTTCAAGAAAAACACATGATATTACTCATTAATATAAAATATAATATCACTATAATTGTAATTCTTAGTCTAAATGTGTTATTTTCATCTTAATATTAAAGGTACGAGAGGGTCTGGGCTCTCGTAATGTTAAGAGGATATTTGTGAGGATTTTTCGTTTTCGTAACATTACGATGTTTCTTTCAACGGTTAACGAGTGGAAGTTAATGTTAAGACTAATGTTAAGACTAATTTTGTATCTGACAACGAGCCCCCGATGGGCACGCAAAACAGGTGCCAAACTCCACGACAGATGGCGCTCTCGCTCATTGGCTCAATCTACTGTCAAGAGCATGTGGTCCTGAGCATAGTCCTGAGCAAGGCCTATAGAGGCTATAGATAAACACCTATAGATAAACTATAGATAGGTGTTTATCTATAGGCCTTAGTCCTGAGTGTGCGAAGGCAAGGGGGGGGGCGCTGCATGCAGTTTGAACAGTTTGCATGCAGTTGCCGGTGCTTGGCTGTGTGTGCGACCCTTGGACGCAACACGCGGCTGGGGAAACCACGGTTGGTTTGCTGGTCAGGGTACACAGCAAACTGCATGCGTGCCCCCCTCCCCACACTCAGGATAGTAGATTGAGCCCATCAGCGAGAGCGCCATCTGACGTGGAGTTTGGGTACACAGCTGCCACGCCGCTCTAGTGCTGCACGCAAAACCTACAGATGCCTGTTAAAAGCAGATGGGGTCGTTGTCGTATCAGGTACGTATCTAATATATATTTGAGTTCGTATGTATCTATGTATGTATGTATCTTCCCTATAGGCGGCCAAACCGCCCAAGCAATCTGGATGCAATTTTCACAGGGCCATCTCTTATTTTGGCAGGTTTTTTTCAGCTACGAACACTCCCCGGGTATTTTTTGGTGAGTTTGACGGTTTGACAGGTTTTTTTTTCACGGCCCGTCAATTCGTCAAACCACACAATGTCAGCACTCACTGTACAGTGCTGCCACACACAGAAAAATCGATGACTATTTCTTGCCCTCACTTCATCAGCTGTTGGTATTGTGAAACCGAAACCAATACTAAAACAGAGCACAGCCAGGACCAGTTCAGAGGTTACGACTGCATTGTTTATCAAGAGGCTTTCAAATGAAAACGGCAACCCATTCGTACATCCTGTTATAATAACTTTTTCTCATTTACACCATATTACTATTATGTTCCAGGGGTTCTAAGTTGGGTTGTGCTGTCATATAAATGTCATACGTAACACTTTTTTCCCCATGCTAAATTGTAAATATTGATATTCTGTGCAATGTTATTGTCGATTATTGTCAATGTACCTATTGTGTCCGATTATTAGTAGTATGAATTAGTAGCACGATTTTACCCAGCGCAGCGGGTACCCGCAGCTAGTATTTAATATTTGACTTATATTCATGAATCGCCTTGCTATATCGTACTGTGTATTCCCTTCTTCAACCGCCACCTTAACCATCACTACCAGAAGCCATCCTCTGCCAGTGCCCAGATTACTCTCCTTTGTTTTCTCAGTGTCTTCGTAGTGGCGTTTAATAGCCCTTTCTCCACCGCTCATTTCTTATTTGCCGTCAACTTCGTATTCCGCGAGCAACCCTCTCTCGGCCGGTCTCTCTCTGGCTCACTTTCTCATGTTTCGCTCCCACTCTTTGTCGGTTCAACGCGTTGTCGGCATCGTTGTTGTTCTGCTTTCCCCCGAGGAATAGTAATCGCTGCGTGGAGGCGTACACCGTAGCCACTTAGCGACCGCCGCAGCAGCAGTGCGGGCCCGCCGATGCTGCTGCTGCTGCTGCTGCTGCTGCTGCGGCGGCGGCGGCGGCGGCGGCGTGCTCTGCCGCTGCGTGCACGGCGCTGATTGCTAGCAGACGCCCGCGAGGAAAACCAGTTGCGCGGCGGCACTGATCGAGCAGAGCGCACAGCGAGCCGGTCGCGCACGCACGCACGTCCGTCCGTCCGTCCGTCCGTCCGTCCGTTCCCCTCGTCTGTGCGTGAGTGTGACGCCGCCGTGTGAGTGCGCGCGTTGACTGGAGTCGTCACCCCGTGTCCCACACCGACATCGTTGATTTCGTTGACTGGCGAGAACGTTGGCGATACGCGATGAAGATGAGCCGGCACTGGATGGTTCTACTCGCTCTGATGGTGAGTTCGTTGGATGTCCTCGTTACGCTGTGTGTGTGTGTGTGTGTGTGTGTGTGTGTGTGTGTGCGTGCGTGCGTGCGTGCGTGCGTGCGTGCGTGCGTGCGTGTGCGTGCGCGTGTGTGCGTGTGTGTGCGTGCGCGCGCGCGTGTGTGTCTCGTTGGCGCGTGCATGGGCACTTGGGCCGCTTCAATAATAAAATAATTGTAAATAAACACAAGTTGCATTTACTACCCTTATCGGCTAATGAGTCCACGTAAATGTCGTTCAAATGCTCATCTGTAACACACAGTCTTACCGCGCGCACGCACGCCACTGCACAAACTGACAGAAAGATATCGTTCTTCTATCAGTGGCCTATGTGCGGTGAAATTGCGCGTCACCGAGGGGAATTTGAACGGCTTTTACGGGAAATCATTACTAATAATAGGCGATAGAGAGTAGATATACACATGACAACTTGAGTACTAAATACAATTCGTGTTTATTTACTGTTATTTTATTATTGAAACGGCCGAAGTACTTGGGGCGCGCCTGATTTTCATCGTCGTCCTTAATTCCAAGCTCGTATGTATATGCCTACTGTTGATGCGGCGCGCATCACATGTTGGTTTTACGCTTGAAGTTTCATCAGAGAGAACGTGGATGAAGAGTGAGAGCGGGAGCGAGCCGGAAGTGGTTGGGGACAGAGAAAATAAGAGGCGAAAGTATGGGGGACTATGGCAGGGGACACGCGGGTAGATAGTGCATGTCGCGAGGGGGGGGGAGAACAGAGATGTAAGCATTAGAAGGCGGGAGGAACTGGGGGGGGGAGCATGACGAGTAGAGACATTGGATGGAGACGCCAAGGAGAGATGGTCAGGAACACAGCATGCGGATAAAGATATTCGAGGGCGAGAGCACTGGAGAGATAGTGGAGGAAGCAGGCTGACGACAGCGGGCAAGAGCAAGAGTAGCTAATGGGGGTGGGGGCACAAGCAGTGACATTATAGGGCAAGATCAAGGGGAGCTAATGGTAGACACAGACAGAGACATTAAATGGCAATGTCAGGAGTAGCTAATGGAAGACACAGACAGAGACATGAGACGACAAAGGCGAGGGCGGAGGGGCGGGTGACTCAAGTACGTATGAGTATTAGATCACAAGAGCAAAGATGAGATGATGGGGGGGGGGACCTTTAGCCGTCGCTCCACAGACGGCCTGTTTTAATTCACTAACGAAAACGCACGATCAATGTACCGTCTGGATGCCCTCTGACATGCAACACTGAAATTTTGTCTGACGTCATTTCGGGATGTCGTATAGTGCGCTGCGATGTGATGTCCCAACGTACGGCTCCCGTATCACACATCAAGGCGGGATGCGAAATTGTTTTTCTCACTTGAGTTCCGGACCCACCATAGATAGTGTTTTGTAATATATGGTTCGTATATATATGGTTGGATTATAGTTAGTGTTAGGTTTCGGTTACGGTTTAGTGTTAGGGTTAGGTTAGGGATAGGTGGTATTCATTTTACATTGTTGCTTCGAGGAAGTCGAGTGAATGGAGTGCGCTGATTGGCTGTGGTCCGGAACTCAAGTGGGAAAAAAAATTTCGCAGGCGGGATGTCATACCATATTCAAGGCTGCCATGTGGTATTCACACATATAGGTTGTTATAATTCCTAACTTATCTTCGGATATCGTAATCGCGTACATCATGTTGGGATGTCTTATTACATCTAGGCATGATCATTACCGTACTTATTCGCTCTATGAGAATAAATATCTCTATGCGAATATATATCTTTCTATGAGAATATATCTCTCTCTCTCTATGAGAATATATCTCTCTATGATAATAAATATCTTCATGATCTAATATATAGCTGATATGTCGTAACGTTGGGATTTTGTTTATCGCGACACGTTTCGTTAGTATATTTTTATATCAAGCGTAACGTACGTTGGGATGCCGTATCACACGTAATACGTAGTACGCGAGTGATGATTGTAATAATTATAATAGCGTAACGTGAGTGATAACGATAACCAAGCTACTGTAACGCACCGTGCATGATAACCTGCAACGATAAGGCTCGCATAGCGCATCCACTTGATCTCGTTAGTGCCTCCTCCCTCTGCTTCCGATACGCAATGCAGGCCAGGCTGATTAATGCGTGCCCTTATTATAACGTGAACCTATGCAGGAGCGAGCTCCTGTGAGCGCGTGTTGTAATAGCAGTGAGCATTCTCGGTATGCACGCATGCACTGTATATACATGCTCTGTATAGGTAGTGAGTGCTCGTGATGTGATGACGGTGTGTCAGCGTTGCATGTAAGATCGCTTCGCCGGGTTGAGGCCGTCGCTGCTGCTGCGGCTGCTGCTGCTGCTGCTGCTGGTGGTGGTGCTGCTGCTGCTGCGGCTGCTGCTGCTGCGGCTGCTGTTGCTGCTGCTGCTGGGGGTAGTGCTGCTGCTGCTGCTGCTGGTGCTGCTGCTGCTGCTGCGGCGGCTGCTGTTGCTGCTGCTGGGGGTGGTGCTGCTGGTGCTGCTGCTGCTGGTGCTGCTGCTGCAGCGGCGGCTGGTGGTGGTGGTGCTGCTGCTGCTGCTGGTGGTGGTGGTGGTGCTACTGCTGGTGGTGGTGCTGCTGCTGCTGCTGCTGCTGCTGGTGGTGGTGGTGGTGGTGCTACTGCTGCTGCTGCTGCTGCTGCTGGGGGTGGTGGTGCTACTGCTGCTGCTGCTGCTGCTGCTGCTGCTGCTGCTGCTGCCACGTACTGCTGCTGTTGCTGCTGTTACTGCGGCTGCGGCTGCGGCTGCGGCTGTTGTTGTTGCTGGTGATGGTGCTGCTGCTGCTGCTGGTGGTGGTGGTGATGGTGGTGATGGTGGTGGTGGTGCTACTGCTGCTGCCACTGCTGCTGTTACTGCGGCTGCGTATGTTGCTGGGGCTGTTGATGGTGCTGCTGCTGCTGCTTCTAATGCTGCTGATGACGATGCTGATCATGATGCTGCTGCTGCTGGCTGCCCGCCGTCCATTAGCTGATTCTCATTAAGGCGTCTAAGCGGCGTGTCGCTCAAAGACCGATGCGTTTTACCAACATCGCTAATTAATTTGCCTGCGGGGGATGGTGTTGCACGCACCACTCGCGTCGTATTCAAGAATGTCGCCGCACGTCAGCACCGAGGGCGTCTTATAGCGGCGTATTAAAGCCAGCTGTGCCACTGCCTACCTCTCTACATTATGCCAGGTTTTATGCGAGAAAAAAACATTGGCTTTTTATAGAGGTTGTTCTCGCGTAACCTAACGCAGTTATCCCGCGCCGCTGCAGTTATCCACAGCCGATATAGACGCGCGATGATACTCTACGACGATGCAAATTTAAAATTCTATTTCCGCAGTTTGTTTGGGTACGCCGTTGATGAATTGGCAATTCGCGCGCGGGGATTTTACATGCCCCTTGGTTGGCGCGCACACACATAGGCCTACAGCCCCATACGCGCCTCTACCCCCCCCCCCAACGCGATTAGCCTTTCCCGCATCGTTTTGACGTCTAGCAACGTCGTTGCAAAATTCATGCGTTCACAAACGCACCGCCGACATTAATTATTTAATAAGATATTTTAACAATATATAACTGTAATGCTATAATGTTTTTGCTATGTCGTAGTAGTCGCGACTTATCCGTCACGCCGGGGGTTCCATTAAATTTCGTGGAAACGTTGCGGTGACTGCGGGATATAATAATGGAGGGCGGGAGGAAAAAGATGGATTATACCTTATTCATCGCGCAGAAATAAATCCAGCGATTCTTCCTGTGCGAGCGGGTTGAAATGAATAACGGTTCATCGCTTCATCGCTGTGAGTGTGAATATTGCATGGCACCGGGTGAATATACATACACACACACACACACACACACACACACACACACACACACGACACACACACACGACACACACACACACACACACAACACACACACATACACACCACAACACAAACACATACCACAACACACACACACACGCACACATATATATATATATATATACTACTATAATATATATATATATATACCACAAAGGATCTTTAATATGCTCTTGGATATATATATATACTACTCATACATAAATATATATATATATATATATTATAATATACTACATTGCCAACGCGACGACTATGGCTGATGACAGTATAATTACCCGTGAACAAGTCAGACAACGTATAGAAAGACTCAATAAAATTCGAATTTTTATCAGCGGCGAGTAATGCTATGCAGTTTTTCTTACGCGATCGTACGGCGTAAACGCATTTTGTTGTTCATGCGGCGGTCGTCGCGCTGTTGGGTGATTGTGCGACAGAGTAGTGGGCCGTAGTTAACGCTTCTATCGAACAAAGGCAAGATTCTCAATCAGTTCTGTTCGCGATGACGAGGTGGCGGCCCGAATCTCTGCGATGCGATATCCAGTCGTTTACGGGTCCAAGTTCAATTTGGCTTTAATTTGTTCTCGTTTTCCCCATATATATATATATAACTATACTATATGGCGGCGATGGTGTATGCCAGCAGAGCGGCCATTCAGGCATGGCGAGTCAAACGATCAGGGAAGCGCCCAGGAAATTAGAAATTTTAAACATGGCCGTAATACAGCCCTGCCTGTGTGAGTGTGAATACTGTGTGCTGCTGTGGGTGTGTGTGTGTGTGTGTGTGTGTGTTTGTGTGTGTGTGTGTGTTGTGTGTGCTGTTGTGTGTGTGTGTGTGTGTGTGTGTGTGTGTGTGTTGTGTGTGTGTGCTGTGCGTGTGTGTGTGTTTGTGCTGTGTGTGTGTGTGTGTGGGGTGTGTGTGTGTGTGAGTGCGTGCGTGCGTCGCGTGCGTGCGCTGCGGTGCGTGCGTGGCGCGCGTAGTGTGTCCTGTGTATGTCATCACGGGGACATTGTCGCTGATTTCCACAGAGTCCATGACACCGCAGTCTGGCATATACCTTAATCCAACTGTTATACCAGCGTTTAGGTAACGTAT